TAAGGACTCTGGAACTTTAGGCTAGAAAAGCCAGTGAGCATTCAAAGCTGGGGGAGCTTTGAAGATAAGAATACCAAGAGCAATATAGACCATGGAGACCTGGCTTGTGAAGTTCCAGAGGGAAGTTTAAAAGCCACTCAAAGACTTTCAGGGCCGTTTGCTATTTTGAGTTAATAATCTGTGGTACTGGTGAGCTGGGGCTGAAAAATCAGCTGTGATTAACAAGAGACCAGAGCCACTAAAGTAAAACCTTTGCTTTACTAGGACAAATGATGCTAGTCAGCTGGAGCTAAGAAATTAGTGATGATTAAGAAGAGACATTGAAGGAAAATCTAGGAATTTTTTCCTCAGAGTCAGAACACAGGAGCTGTGTTTCAGGGGTGGCCAAGGTTGTACTTGTGTTGGCAGGTAAACTTGGTAATGTGTACGAGGACCCAGTTGGTACTGGTTTTGAAGGCATGAAGAAGTCATGGAGAGTAGCTGAAGCTTGGCACTAAGAGAGGCCAGGAGAGGCCATTGGAGAAAGCGCAGCCTCCATAGCAGTGGAAGTCCTAGGATTGAAGGGGTCATGGAGAGAAACTGAGGCTTAGCACTAAGAAGAGAACCCTAAAGAAAAGTATAACCCAACAGCAGCAGAGACCCCAGCATTTTGGAGATGCCAGTACTATGGGATGCCCGCCAAAGACAGCAGCAGCAGTGGAGTGGAGCCAGCCACAGCCTAGAAGACAAGTGTGTGCTGCAGAGGATGGAGCCAGAGAAGTGGCTTAAACCCTTTGGAGAGACCTAGAAGATTGCGAATTGGACATTGAGTTATTTACACTTTCGGAGTCTGGTTTTGCTTTGTTCAGATGGTGACTGTGCCCTGGTTCTTCCCTCTTACTTTATTAAGTAAGAAAGTACTTAATATTCATTTTTAAAGGAGCCCACAGTTGAGACCGAACTTTTAAAAACATTCTGGATTTTTAAAGGACTGGATATTTTAAAGAGACTGGACTTTTTTTTTTTTTTTTAAGATTTATTTATGTATTATGTTTACAGTATTCTGCCTGCATGTATGCCTGAAGGCCAGAAGAGGGCACCAGATCTCATTATAGATGGTTGTGAGCCACCATGTGGTTGCTGGGAATTGAACTCAGGACCTTTGGAAGAACAGACAGTACTCATAACCACTGAGCCATCTCTCCAGCCCAAGACTGGGCTTTTAATGTGTCTGAATTTGTAAAGACTATGGGGCTTTGAAAGTTATTTATGTTTTATATAGTGATGTTAACATTAATATGCCATCTCGGGGGATAAATGAGAAAGAAAAGGTTCTAACTGAAAAGTAATGTGTCTTGAGTGTCAAGCTGACAAAGGGGTCAGTTGTGCCGGCCCAACTAGACACAAGCTGAAGTTATCTGAGAAGGAGGGAGCTTCAAACTGAGAAAATGCCTCCATAAGATCAGACTATAGACAAGCCTGCAGGGCATTTTCTTAATTAGTGATTGATGTGTGAAGGCTCAGAATATTGTGAGTGCAGCCACCTCAGGCCTGGAAGTCCTGGGTTCTATGGGGAAAAAAAAAAAAAAAAAAAGGCAGGCTGAACAAGCCACATGTAGCAAGCCAGTAAGCTGCTCCCCTCCTCCTTGCCTCTGCACCAGCTCCTGCCTCCAAAGTCCCTGCCCTGCATGAGTCCCACACTGCTTTTGATGATAAACTGTCATGTGGAACTGTGAGTAAAGTAACCCTTTCCTCCCCAACCTGCTTTTGGTCATGGTGTTTAATCCCAGCAATAGTGACCCTAAGACACCAGCATCCACACAGCAACTTACAGCTGCCTATATCTCCGGTTCCAGGGATCTAATACCTTCTGACCTACACAGGAATTGCATGCATGTGATGCACATACATGCACTCAGGCAAAAACAAATACATATAAGATAAGCAACCTTTTAAAAAATTAATTCAGCTAAGCAGTCACTCATACAGATTTTAGGAATATATCCACCTAGTATGACTTTTCTGAGGTCAATTAGGAAAGTATAACAGAAGCCCTAAAATGTTTATACTCCGTAAGAATTAATCCATTTCTGGGAATTTTAATAAAAGGAAATAAATAGAAAAAAACATAGTGACTGACATAAAGAAATATTTATTAATACTTATAATCAGCAAAGAACGTAAAATACAGCCATGTAAAAGGACATGGGCCTCATTTTAGAGAAATACAGTTTAGTGGAATGAAAAACTTCTTGTCTAAATTAAATTTAAGGTTATAAAATAACACACGAATTACGACTGCAATGTTAGTCTCTATACAAAAATGCACGCATATACAGTTTAAAGCTGCTATGGTTATTTCATGTTCTTTACTAACTTCCAAATCTCCTATAGTAATAACACACTATTTATGTTCCCAGTCCAGTATGATTTATATACTTGGAGACTGACATTGTATGCCAGTATGTATGTATACACATGTATGTACAAAATATCTATACAGACACCTGTACACACATACATAGACAAACATAAACAAAAACTACAGTCAATTGGAAAACATAATCTGCTGAGGTAAAAGAACCAACATGACAACGCTGCAACAGCCAGATACATGGAAAGCACTAGGAATGAATAGAGATGTCCCAGCTGAGGAGCCTGGAAGGGTCACTACTGCTCACACACAGAGAAGGGGACTCACCAGCCCCTCAGCTGTGCCATGCACAATTTCTCAGTGCTGAGGCTCAATGGCACAAAATTCTAGAACTGGACACTTGTTTCTAGCTTGCCCATACAGCTATTTGCTACATGCCCCCCATGGAAAAGAGAGAACATAGTCCCTCTGACCTCCATTCCACTTACATGCTTAGTATGTGCACATACAAGCATCCTTTAAAGAATGGTGTTCCTCTTTCTTCATAATTAAGTATATCAGAGGCTGGAGAGGTGGCGCAGTGGTTTAGGACTCTGCTCTTGCAGCACCCACATGAAGCTCACTACTGTTAAGAACTCCAGTTTCAGGGGCTCTGTCACCCTCTCCTGCCCTCTGGGCACTAAGCATGCCCACGGTATACATACATACATGCAGGCAAAACATCCACACACATAAATCTTTAAAAACAATTCAACATGTTCTGCTTAGCATCTTATGATTTCTGTACTGCAAAAATCAGTTAAAGCACAAGTTATTCTGCTAGAGAAAGATGGATAAACATTGTGTGTAATCTAAAAGTACCTATTTTAGACAGATAGTAACTATGTTATATGAACACCCACCCAAGTTAGGGAGTGAGGGACCCCATACTTTCTAAATAAACATGGTGGTTATTTCTGCTACTATTTCTAAGAGTCTTAAAACAATAACTTTAGCAGATAATAAAAACTCAATTATCAACCTTCTACTTTGCATCCCCCCCACCATTTTTTTTTTTTTTTTTTGGGTTTGGCTTTCTGTTTGCTGATGTATCTCTCATTGTGTAGCCAAGTATGACCTAGAACATACTATTGCAGCTGTGGCGAGCTGGAACCTTGCAATCCTTATGCTACTTTGCTCTCTTCATTAAAAGTGCTACAGAAATAGCAGGAACATCCAAGAACACAAGACAAAATACATTCAACAAAGAACCCTAACCAATAGATTAAAAAAAAGGGCATGATGGCAGTGGTGGTACACCCCTATGCCAGCAGAGATCCTCAGAAGGCAGAGACAGAAGAATCTGAATTTGGCCTACACAGGTAGTTCCAGGATAGCCTGAGCTATACAGAGAAACTTTGTCTCAAATAATTAACAAATTAATTAATTAAAATGAGAACAAAATGGTTTTCGCAGTTGGTAACAAGTTTCCAGGTAACACACTATGAACATTAGAAAAGGGAAGTAGAGTCTGCAAGTCAGGAAGGAGAATCAAGAACTCTTCAGCAGCTACTAGAGTCACAAGTGAGCAATCTACATGCCAAAGCTTTTTCTTTATTTACATACCATTAACAGAAACAGTTTTAAAATCAATTTTATCATTCCTTATTTGTTTTTATTTTTAAAGAGGGGCATACTAATGTGTGGACGTGTGGAGCAAAAGCACCAGAGGGTGCGTGCTCTTTGCTCACACAGCGAACAGGTCCAGGGTTGCTGCTGCATACATGACATTTATCTTTAGGTTTCAATATAGAAATATGCTAAGAAAACAGAAGTCATTATACTTAATGGTCTGTTTTAAATTAACTTTTAAAATGTAACAGGATAAATTATTATACATCACCTTTGACACTAAATAACTTGTTCCTGTTTTCCTATAAGGCATCAAATACTGTATCAAATACTGTGGTGGTCTGAAAGAGAATGCACCTCACAGGCTCATATATTTGAATACTTGATCCCTCATTGGCAGAACTACTTGGGAAGGATAAAGAGGTGTGGCCCTGTTAGAGATTTATTGCTGGGGGCCAATTCTGAGGTTCTAAAAGACTCAGTCTCTCTCTGCTTCAAGATGTGCACGCTCACCTACTGCTCCAGCACCATGCCTGCCTGCCTACTGCCATGCTCCCTACTATGATGGCCACAGACTCTAACCCTCTGGAAAATAAGCCCAAAGTTAATGCTTTCTTCTATAAGCTGCCTTGGTCATGGTGTGTTATCACAACAGTAGAAAAGTAAACAAGACAAATATACTAAGGGAACTAGAGGAACTAGCTTCCTCCTCAATCTGCAGAAATAATTTCCACAGCAGAAGAGAGACACACTTCAGTCCCTGCAATCCTGCTACATATATGAGGAAATTAATGTTTAAAAATTGAGGCATGGGTGTACACACGCCTGTGACCCCAGCACTATGAGGGCAGAATTAGGATTCTTGAGTCTTGGTGGTCGCTATATTGCACGAGTATGCATACTCATACATACAGGTACATAGGTGTACATACACCACACACACATTCACAAACACAGCGCACACACACACTCACAAGCAAACACTTTCCACAATTTCAACTTCAAATCCCTTGGTTTAAAAAGGAGCCCACATTACCTGTGTGAAGCTGTATTCCTTATTCACTCTGCCATTGCTCTCTGCTCACAGGGAGTATTATTATGTGCACCACATGTGTACCTGGCACCTAGGAGATAAGAAGAGGGCATCAGGTACCCTGGAACTGGAGTTATGGTTGTGAACCACCACGTAAGTACTAGAGAACTGTAGTCCTCTGCAAGTGTTTTTAAATACTGAGCCATCCCTCCATATCCTCATAATTTCTATTAAGAAATCCAAACCTTCTTTTTCAGCAGCACAGATTTAAGTTCTCACTTCGCCAAGAGCTATACTAGGACAGGGATTTCTAACACAAAAACAAGAGGCTTGGCATTTAATACTAATGAACCCTAGATTGCAGAGACCACCTCTGTAGAGGGGGTCACCCATACCTTGTATCTATCTAGTACCCTCCTTAAGCTGATAAAAGTCTACCATGTAACAGCCGCAAAGCAGAATGGGACTATGGGATTAGCTTCCTAAATCTATCTTATCAAGTGCCTTCACTAATCTTCTAAATTCCAAGACCCCATCCTCTAAGCTAAGAGACCCCTACCCACCTGTTGAAGTCTTAAATGCAAGGAATTTTCTGTTCTGTGGGCTGCTGCTGTATCTCCTATCCCACCCTCCCTCATCATCTAAAAAGCCTATCTCTAATGAACCTGGAAAGACTCTTTATTAATTTAAAACAATAAATAGAATAAAAATTCCTTTTATCCAAACTCATTCTTACTCTCAGTAAAGCAGGTTGTTTCAGCTAAAATAAATTGCTAATATTATAACTCTGCTGATTATGTTTTAGACATTCTCAGGCCTCACAAAGCAGCTTTGACTGGTACAGTAACTACTTGTTGTGATAGATCTTCATGGTTATAAATAACACAAATACCTATTTTATTTGTCTCCCCAAATACCCGAGAACCAAACAAGTCAGATAAAAAGGAAAGGAAAATTATGGACATGGGACCAAGGAAAGGAAGGCAGTGTCTCCTACAGTGTAGCTGAAACCTCTTGACTCTTATCAGTTGAAGATTGAGAACTCCAAAATACTTACCAAATATATTTCTATTTAGTGTGGGGTGTGTGTGTGTGTGTGTGTGTGTGTATAGGTGAGAGAACAACTTTAGGGAGTTGACTCCTCCTCTCATTGTGTGTTTCAGGGATCAACTCAGGTTATCAGGCTAGTATATCAAGCACTTTTACTATCTTGCCAGCCCTAAAAAATGTTTTTTAATAAATTCTAACTCTGCTTTATACTGGCACATCCTGAAATTCTTCCTTCAGCAAAGCCAAGAGTCCAGTTTTACCTAACTTGGGACCATAAAAGACTAAGATTACTATAAAAGCAAACTGGAAGGTAGGCCAAAGACACACTGATCATGTTTTCACAATAGAAAAACATGGTGCATGGATGCAATGTGCTTAACTCTGGCCCTCTTGATCTGTTACCAAGCATATCCTTTGCAATTCCATTCAGCCTACCTGGGTATTTGTGCCCAGTGCTTCCCTCTGGTCAGCCTTATATATTATACTTCTTTTTCTTGTTCCCAATGACTCCTTTCCTCACTGTTTTAGTCTCCCTTGGGAGTATCATTCAGTCTATAGTTTCTGTTTTTATATTTTACTAGTATATTTTCTACAACTTTTCAAAGGTCCTCAAAATATCCAGACTTCTAGAAAATTGTTTTGAATCTTTAGAATATCTGGTAGGAGGGACTAGCAAGGTGGCTCAGTGGTTAAGAGCATGTGATGCTCCTGGAGAGCATTCTCAAAAAAACTAAAAGCAGAATCACCACTCACCCAGCCATCCATTCCAACACACAGGCCTGAGGACTCAAGTAAGTGCTCCAGAGAGCTGAGCATCCAAGCTCCTGCTGCACCACCCACACAGCGCAGCTGTCCGTAAGAAAATGAGTGGGCAAAGGAACAGTATACATAAGCATAAGAACTTCATTCAGCTATAAAAGAGAATGAAAAAGTCACAGGAAAATGGACAGAGGTAGAGGTAAAATAATGCGAATTAAGCAAGATTCCGACAATGGTGTGTTCTGTCTCATATAGGGACCCTGGAATAATATTATTTTTATATTTATATATGCAAACCTATATGTACAGGGCATGAAAATTGAAAAGGGTATATGACAAGGGGACAAGAGGCCTTTAAAGGAAGAAAAAAGAGGACAAGAGAGGGTAGTGAGCTTTATGTGACATCAAACCAGAAAAAGGAGTATCTAAACAGTACTAGCACACAGAGTGAAAGGTGAACAGTAACAAAGGGTAAGGATACATATGCACAAAAATGCATCAGTTTGCATGCTAATTTTTTTAAATATTTTTTAAATGATAAACAAAATTGAAAAAAAACCTTGCCTTTAATGTGAAAAATAGAGGCAGCCTCAATTGAAATTATGAAGAGGAATTGTAAATAGAAATATACACACTGGACTGTAAGAACATACTGTGAAAAGCTATGACCCACAAATTATATAATCTCAGGAACTGAATTAACCCAAATCTGTAAGACTGAATCATGAAAAAAATAGAAACAAACAAACCAAAACCCAGAAAATGTAAGCAAAGCAATAAAAGTAAAGACATTGATTCAGTAAGCAGAAGCTCCCCCTAGTACCAGAAGGCTCTTCTGGAAAATGTCAAGTACTTAAAGGACAGTTAATATCAATCTTCCTCACAGTATTCCAAAACTGTGAAGAGGAAGGAACAATTCCAAACTCATTTCCAAAGACCAGAATTGTCTTATGCCACAGTAAGACAAAAACACTTGAAGAAAAGAAAATTATAGGCCAATATTCAGAATGAACTTAGAAATACAAAAATCCTCAAATACTAGTAAACAGGGGGTGGATATATGGCTCCCAAGTTAAGAGATCTGGAAGCTCTTACATAGGATCTGGATTCAGTTTCTGGAACTTGTATGGTGATTTACAACTGAAATTCCAGCTCCAGGGGATCTGATGTCCACTTCTGGCCCCCACAAACACTGCATGCACATGGTACATGGACATACATGTAAACAAACACTCATACACATAAAATCTTTTTTTAAAATAGTAGTATTCAGTACTCCATCAAAAGGACTATATACCATGAAGAAGTGAATCCTGGATTCAATATCCACATATCTATAAATGCAGCTTATAATCTCTAGGACAAAAGACAAAAAGCATGTGACAATACTGATTAATGTAGAAGAGGTAAGTTACCATATCACCATCTTTTCATAATGAAAACTGGTAGGTACAGAGGAATGAACACTGACACAATAAAGGCCACGCCTGACAGGGGTCCCATGGAACATCACAGCCAACACAGAAAGATAAAAGCTTTCCTCTACCACCAGGACAGGGCAAAGGTGCCCAGTCTCAATACCTAATTTCAACAAGTTGAGGAAAGGAAGAAAGCAAAGGCACCAAATCAAAAGTAAAAATGCCTTTATCTGCAGATGGCATACCTCTATACAGAGAAAAATTAATCCCAAAAGCCTCCTAGAACTGAAAACTGATTCTGTAAAGTTGCATGAAGGCAACAGACAAACCAGCAGCATTTCTGTGCATGAATAAGATCTACTCAAAAAAGTTTTTAAATTTGAATTTACAATACCGCAAAAACATTTTAAATGAATTTAACTTAGGCGAAAGGTTTATACACTGACTGTGGTTCAGTGTTGATGATGGACATTGAAAAAGAGACAAAATAATCCCTCTTGGTCAGAAATTAGGACACTATTAAAATGTCCATTCTACCCAAGTCAGTCTACAGCTTCAGTACAATCTCTTATCAATTTCATGAATATTTTTCAAAGGAATAGAGAAAACAAACAATCATAAAGTTCATATGTAGCAACAAAAGACCCCACAGAGCCAAACCAATCTTTTGGTTTGGTTTTCATGCAGGGTCTCATGTAGTCCAGGGTGACCTTGAACTCCTTATTCTCCTGTCTCTGCCTTCCAAGGGCTGATCTTTTCTCAGGCTAGCTATACAAATGTGATCCTTTCTTGCTAATCTGAGCACAGAAGACAGCAACAGCCCCCAGGCTGCCATGCTACAAGAAAGACAATTCATTCTAATGTGCTGCTGGACTGTTAGACTATGCTGTCCCAGGAGGCATTAAATACATCTGTATTAAATACAACTTCAACTTACAATCATTTTCATTTTGTAATGGGCTGACAAGATCATAATCCATCACAAGTTAAAATCAGCTGTACCTAAGAGGTAGAATATTTTATGTTTAGGTTAAATAGTTTCAGAAATCAACAGAATGAAGTTAAGGATGCTGCTTGAGTTCCTGATTAAAAAACCAGGTGCTTACAGAGAAAATAAGGGCAGAAACTTAGTTGGGTAGAAAGACATCTTGACATATGGTAAATGCAAGACACTGTGGAATCCAAATGAAAAAATCCAATTAAGCAGAGGCCTACATGGATAAACACAGGTCAGAAAACAAAGCTAATCAAATGGTCCTGGAAAGCACCACCAAAGACAAGGTAACGAAAGCCACATGATGGGATGAGTTAACTCAGACATGAGAGCAGAAGAACCAAACAAAAGAGTGTAAGAGGAACTGTGGGAATGTCAAGGTAAGCCTTTTAGAGGCCCATAGAAAATGGTGAGTGAAGAACCAGCAACTCCTAGGACCCCTCAAAAGATCATGATCCACTGCACACAGTGTTAACCCACTAGGGACTCCTAACACACTAGTGACGTCTCAAGATGGATCTGAGGCTAGGGCAGTGACTGCTTTCCCCTTCTTTACGGAAGTCTCCTGAGGTGACCTTGATTCCCCCCCCCCCACCTCCCACATTTCCTTATAGTCGTACCAACCTGACTGATTGTGCTTGAGGCTAGCATGGGATGGTCTGATTGGCCTTTCAATCATTTAAAGGCTGGTAACACTGGACAACAGAGTTAGATCTGCACCTTTGAGTCTGGTCTATGAAGTCTGGTTCCTGGGATTCTGTATGGACTCACTCCTCTTCCCCCAGTTCCTGGTCCCACAAAGGATGGAGGGTACAGTTGGTCTGTAGACATAGGGAAGTGGATAAATAGTTAGCTATGACAACAGCTGTGTAAGGTACAAAGCCTTTTGCCTAGAAAGAACTGGCCTGGTTCTGCTAAGACGCGTTCACAGACCTGTGACAGGCAGCAGAGGTGTGCTTATCCCTCGCTGCTCTCACCGGTAGCTTCCTGTTTAGTCTGCCACGTTCAGGAAAGCTACTGTCATCCAAAATAAATACAAATCAGTGAAACCAACAGGCACACTCACTCTTCTTCCAGTCACCTCTTATTTAGTCAATTTGGTATGGACATCAATCACCTGTGCAGCAAAGCAACCACAAACTGAAGTTCAGAATCATTCTTGCCTGTGACACAAGCCAGGAGCCTACCCAACACACATGAACATCAGAGCTTCAAACACTATACAACTCAGTGATTATGTTGGGGTCCAGGTACTGGTTTTGAATGGTTTTGAATAAGATTCTAAATTTCAGTCACATTCCAAAAGTAGGCTTTTTTTTTCACTCAAGCATTAACAAGCAAAAAATAAAATAAAAATAAAAATAAAAACCACTGTAAGTCTGATGATACGGACATATACTGTCTTCTCTACTTTTAACTGTACTTAACAGTAAGGGTCTTCCCACACAAGTGTGCAGAACTGGGGACAATTAATAACCAGCTTCTGAAATTGACTGAAATCCCTAAAATTTGTACTAAAACTTGAGATATTTCATTTTAACTAGGATTTTCCCTAAGAGAAGAGCCTATTTTAAGAAATCCTGTGTGACCCATGCCTCAATGGTAAGTAACAGCTAACAGATAAACACCCCTGTACTCACAAGCCCACTTTAGTAAAAGGTAACCAAGTTGAGACACTGTCCACATCTAATGCCTCCCAGGAACCTCATCTTAACCTTTCTTCAAAACAAAGACCACACAGTCCATGTCCACGACAGGCTGCCCTGCTGCTTCCTTTACCTTGCAGCTTCTCCTAGCACTGGTCTTCCTGCTCAGTCACAAATGCAGTCATCCGCCACAGGGTCATCACATGAAAGCTTTGCTATCAGAGACCAGGGAGATACTACTCTTTAAGAGGAATGATAAAGGAAATAGGCTCCTTATCATTTCATTCTAGATAAGATCAGACCGTAGCATATTTATGCCCCCTCCCTTCACCTGTCTAGCCCCCCAATCCAACTGAAAACTTCAATCACAAGACTCAAGAGGAAAGACACTCTGATAAGGTTAAAATAATGGAAGCGCCTAGAGAAGCAAAAATGGAGAGGAGAAAGTAAGAATGAGTAAAGGATAATGACTAACCAGGAAATCTTAATACTCCAGAAATACAATAACACGGGAAGAGTGTCAGAGAAGAAGCAGAAGAAGCAGCAGCTGCCATCACCCATAGAAAAGAGAGCAGATCCCTAGACCATAGTTTACAAGACAAGTAACAACTTCAAAACCCCAGCCTAGGGTTGTGTGGACATCCTATCCTGGAGTACTTGTAAGGACACAAGGACCACCATTATTTACACTCACTTCTAAGGGCCATACCTGGGAAAGGAGCTGGAGAGTCAATGGTAAAGATGTCAGGGCAGATGGCCAAGGACTACACAAAACACACCTGGTACTGAGATTAAAATCAAATGAAATAGAATGTAGGTAACAAAGGGAGTCAGGAAAGGCTCACTGCACTAGGGAAAGCTCACATCTGGAGCTGTGTGACACTAATGACAATGCCACCAAGTTGAAGACTATTATACTCCAGCAACTATTACTTATACTACAGAAAAAAAAAAACAGAAGCTAAAGTGATATGTGGGACCAAAGAGCCATGTGACCAAGGGAGCCATTCCAGAGCAAGAGCGGGGTGGAGACACATCCAAAATCTGGAAATCTCATTTTGAGATCAGCAGGAGTAGGACTGCTCCCTCCCTACCCTGGGCCTGCATATCCTGGTCACAAAGCCTTACAGCTACCACTTCTGCCACCCTTGAGGTGGTCACATAGCCTGGCCACCAGGTTACAGGCTAAACTTCCTCTCTCCTTATAACATCCAGCAGCACCTGGAATTCCTCTTTATGCAAATAAGGCTTCCTCAGCACCTTGGCTCAAGCCAATGATGTACAGTCATCCCAAAGGCCTCTACCCACTCCCCCAATGTTTAAATAGCCTTTGTTTCCCCTCACCACCCCAATTAAACAAGCTGTCTCACTGAAGCATGATTCTCAGGAAGTCTGTTTCTCACATAAAGCCACTGGAGGTCTCTCTTCCAGCTGTTCCTGCCTCACTCCCCCTATCAGGATCCACTGGTTGTGATTACCAACAGTAATGGGCAGTTGGTGCCCAATATGGGGCCTAAAGAGAGCACTAGGATACACAGAAAGAAGGTGAGGAATTCCTGCAGAGGGACATCAGCCCCACCAGATCTTGCCTCTCTGTACAAGAGCTGGCAGTCTATCTTTTCCTTCTCTCTTACTTCTCGGTTTTACAACATTGAATGGGACTGAGCACAGTGACAGGGAAGGACACAATACAGTATCCTCTGGCCAAGGATACTCCTTGGCGATGTTAAAAGGTCCCCAACGTTCTGCCCAAATCCCTGATGATGATGAGTGTCCGGTTGCAGATCTAGTAGCTCTACAAAAGGCTACAGAGGAGATTCCACAAACAATTTGCTTCCTCAGCCTCAGCAAACCCTGGCCACACACAATCTGCCTTACACCTTCCTACACTGCACCACAGGACATTCCTCACTAAACCCCTCCTTCCACTACCAAGCAGCTCTGCAATCTCTGGGACTCCACTTTGAGTCCGGTGACTCAGTTTCCCAGCTAATGTCCACCCCACCCAGGCAAAGCCTCTGAAGGCTCAGGCTGGAAACGTAAAAGAGCTCAGGAAGGGAGTCAAGGAGGAAGGGATCCAAGCCCCTTAGACTAAATCCTCTCCTCCAAAGTCAAATCAGCACTTTAAACACACCTCAGGAGTGGCAAGATATTTTACCATTCCTGTCTGACTGGCCTGCTTTACCTGCAATGAGCCCTCCACAGAAACGAATGCCTCCAGCAAAAATTATAATACATGGGGATATGAGGAGCTTTTTGGCCAGGAAGCCTTTTCCACGGGAGCCCAGCAGGCAGCTCAGCCAGTAGGCTATTACAACCAGGTGCTCTTTGCACACTCCAAGCCTGGGACAGAATCACCTCACCCTCCAGCTTACAAGACCCTACCTCTTTCCTCCTTTTCCTCTGCCAAAAGCTGGGAGAGACAACTCTCTTATTCTTAGAACTAAAACAAGCTTAGAAAGAAAAATTCCCGACCCTGCAACCAGAGACCTCTTTCTTAAAAACATAATTTGGGAAGGCATGACTTCTAAGTACAGACTCGCCTGCCAAGGCCTCAAAGATGAGCACTATGATAGATGGGTTGTGGTCACTCAGGATCCTGGGACAGCATCCCATCAGGCTACTTCCATTGCCCAGGCCTTCAAAGCAGTGATAAAAACAGAAACAGCTAGCTTTAAGCATGGTGAAAAGGGACAGTGGAGAGCTGAATGCCCTGAAGTGATCGCCTCCACCAAAAATGCCACCACTCCCAAGACAGTCTGTCCCCAGTGCAGCAAGAGCTTCCACTGGAGGAGGGATTGTCACTCTTGTGATGACAAGAATGGCAAGCCACTAAAGCATTTAAACTTAAAACAGGGCAGCCCTTGGTCCCAACAATAAAAGGGAAAACTGTTCCCATAGATGTTTCCAGCATCTCAGAAGTCTCCCAACAAAAAAATAACCATAAAAACAAGTGAGAAGCCATTCAAATGCCTCATTGATACTGGAGCAGATAAAACAATTTTAAGGCAACAAGAGGTCCCACAAGACTGGGAGCTAATTCCTGGCCCCAGCTTCTAGGCAGAGGAAGCTGGTCCCTTGCCTTTACCAGCAAACAAGCCTAAAATGGGACCCCTAACAGCCCCATGGGCAGTACAATACCCCTGGTTTCCAGTACTACCACCAATCTTCTAGAAAGTGATATTCTAGAATCTCTAAGAGTAACCCTCATCAGTCAGCCTCAAGAAAATTACAGTAGAGTAAATAATTATACCCATAATGATAGCTATAAACCTTAAAAATTCTCCAAATCACCCCCAATTCTAAGGGCCACTGTTAAATATAACACTCCCTACCTCAACTGGCTTTCTAACAAGCCAGTCTGGGTTAAACAATAGCCTCTATTGGGGAGAAACTTGAAGCACTCACACAACTAGTAAAAGAACAGCTTCTGCTCCAACATATTCTCCCTTCCATGGAACATTCCTGCGTTCGATATAAAGAGTTCAAGGGGATAGAGACTGCTACAAGATTTAAGGGCAATTAATAAATCCACGGGAGTCTGGGTTCTCTCCAAGGGGACTACCCTTCAACTCCACTATTTCTACCAACTCTCTATTAGCAACAGACTTTAAAGACTGATTTTTTTCCTGTAACTCTCCACCCTCAAGACTGTGAACGCTTTGCTTTTCAGTAAACTTCCCTTCCCCCACTAACAACTCTGAGCCAGCCTCACAATATGAATGGACAATTCTTCCTCAGGGAATAGCAAACAGTCCCACTAACCCCCAAGAGGCTGTTGCCACTTCATTAAAACCTTACATTGATCCGGGAGCAGTGGCACACACCTATAATCCCAGCACTTGGGGAGACAGAGGCAGGTGGATCTCTGTGAGTTTGAGGTTCATATGGTCTACAAAGTGAGTCCAGGCCAGCCAAGGCTGCACAGAGAAACCCTGTCTGGAAAATAATAGTAGTAGTAGTAGTAATAAACACAATAATAATAAGTAAAACCTTACTTAGACAAAGGTCTCCATACTTTATTATATGTATGATATGTTGGTGTGGGGAGACTCTTCCACCTCCCCCTAACAACTTAAGGATCAATTAATACCTTCCCTATCCTCCCTAGAATTTAAAATAACTCCTCACAAAACACAGCTTACTCCACCCATTCCATTCTTGAGAAAGAAAAG